TATAGATCTGTAGACATTTAAGACAATAATAATGAGTAAAGGAAAACATTTCTTGAAAGACAAACTAGTAATGTGGAATCAATAAATGATCCTCAATCTTATATTTTTGGTTGTGAGCCTAGCCTTTTATTGCTGAGCCATCTCTCCAGTCCAATCATCAAACTTAACAGCCACAAAACATTACAAATCAAAACTTTCCCATAAAGAAAAGTCTAGGCTCAAAGAGTTTCAAAACCAGTGAATTCTATTAAACAATTTAGAAACCATCATATCCATCCTACACAAATTCTTTCGGAAAGCAAAAGAGGAGGTGACATTTTTTCCAAGTAATGTTTATAAGATAACTATTGTTCTGATATCAAAACCAGATAAATACATTGCAAGAAACAACAGGTCAACGTTCCTCATCAAGACACAATAACTCTTGACCAAGTTTCAGCAAACTAAATAAACAAGATAATACATCACTACCACGTAGGTCTTATCCCAGGAATGCAGTTATTTTACATGAAAAAAATTCAGTGTAAGCCACTATTCTAATGCAATAATGGATGCTAGACTATTTTAGTAGATGAAGAAGTATTTAACAAAATCCCATATTCATTTATGAGAAGACATCTTTAATTAGAAATAAAAGAGAACATTCTTTTCTTAATAAATGTACTTGGGAAAATATGTTATGGTTAACATCACACTTTACAGGGAAATTTTAAGTACTTTCTCTTGTTGAATAGGAACAAGCAAAGGTAAGGATGTTCACAGTTTTCTCACTCAACACTGTATTGGTGCTCTTAACCCACAGTTACAACCAGTGCAGTAAGACAAGAAAAAAAGAAAGAAAAGGCATAAAGACTGTCTAAGGCAACTTAAAATTCTAAATTCATATATGGAATGCTCACATACAAGGAACATGCTAAGCAATTACAGAAAAAGCAAGATACATGCTTATATTATTCAAGATCAATATTCTACTTAAGATCTACATTTTGGCAACAAACACTTAGAAATCATTTAGGATATTCCATGCACAAAAAAAATCAGTACTATGAAATAACTTAAGAATAAATTTAACAAAATTTGTGTAAGGCCTGTTGTAGAGTTTAAATTAAAATTTGAAATTTGAGACTATATAAGTAAATGGGTTCACAGATTAGAATAGCTATTAAGACATAAAAATACATATAAATTCAGTGGACTATAACAAAAGACCTTTACATTAGTAACATCAATTTTATATACATCAATTTCATTTACTTTAGTGGCTACATGTATAGTTTCCTAACCATTTTATCAAAAGCAGTCTGGTAAAGTATTTTTTTCTTAGTAAAACTGATAATTATAAGTTGGTGCTCAAAAAGTTACTTCTGATTTCAGATTTTTGGATTATAAATGTTCAATCTGTCCATGAAACTGCTTTACTCAAACATAGATCATGGGATCTAAATAGCAAAGCTAGATTATAGACTACCTTTCCGTGTAAGAGTGCTACTTATCCATGTACTGGCCACCTTTCCGTGTAATAGTGCTACTTATCCATGTACTGGCCTTTTTATGGGTTCATGTCATATTTGGGCTTCCCATGGTAGAGTTTCAGGGCCCACACATGCTCCATTTCTCTTAACCTTTCCCAGATGTAATGTCTCTTGACTTCATACTTGCCTGTCCAACATGGCTTCCCAATTTCTAGGCTGATGTCAACTCCCTGATTGCTGGCTTTATGTTGCTTTTCAAAACCACTGAACCATCTCTCCAGCCCCATGTTAGTTTTATAAAAGCCAAGTTCACCTGTGAAGAGTTTAAGGCTCTTCATATCCGGTCACAGTTACCACTAAAGCCCCAAGTGTTCTTATTCTCTCATATAGTCCATGTTACATAGTACATTTCTTACTGTTCTTTTACCATTTCTGTTCCCTTTCTGTACCGTACAGACCTTCCTCTTCCTCACTTAGCAAACTCAATCAATTTTGAATATCCAGTTCAAAGGTTCAGTGTTTCACTGGTTGGTGCTGGAACATGCTATCCTTGAACTTTGTGATCCTCCTGCCTCAGCCTGCTGAATGCTAGACTACAGCTGTGCACCAGCACTCTCAGTTCAACGCTCTGTCCCTTTTGCTCCCTGCCTGTCCTGGATTTGAACACACTGTTTTGTTGCCTCAATTAGAGGGCAGTATTTTTTTGAGGACACCGGGGTTACCTTGTTTGTGTATCTGAATTCAGATCTGAAAACGTCCTGGCCAGTAGTAGGGGGTCCCATGAATGGTTGTTAAATGAATAAGGCTAAAGGGGTTTTTTTTTTTTACAGTCACGGGGATTGCAGCTGGACCTAGGAAGACAGCACAGAAGTGGGGAAAGGGCACTGGGAGGAGGAGGAGTATTATCATAGGAGATGGAAGAACAAAGTCCAAGAATGAGAGCAGAGATAGTGAGAAGGTCAGCCGAGCCATAGCTAACTGTTGCAATAGCTTGTCCTTGTGACTGTGCTGACTGTGTCTCTCAAGTCCCTTTTTGGCTCTCAGAGGGCAGGGTATTTTGTGCTCTCCTTTGTACTCCCTTCATAGTTGGTGTACATCTCCATAGTCACTGTGTCTACCATCTTCTGGTTACTCTGAACAAATTGTGTCTACCATCTTCTGGTTACTCTGAACAAATTATGTGTAAGGTGTTTTGCTTGCATGTGTGTCTATGCACCAGTGATATGGCTGGTGTCCGTGGAGGCCAGAAAAATGTGTCAGATCCCCCGAAACTGGAGTTATAGACAGTTTTTAAGCTACCACATGAGTGCCTTCAAACCTGGGTCTTCAGTCATTGAGACCACTGAGCCATCTCTCCAGCCCCCATCTTTTTGATGTTTTAAAACTGAGATGAGGTCTCTTTAGTGGCCCAGCTTGTGTAGCCCAAGCTGGCTTCAAACTCACAGTCCTCCTGCTTTAGTGGCCAGAATGCTGAGATTGCTGGTCTGCGTGAGCATGCCTGTCTAGCCTTAGAGCCCCTGCTCTCCTCTTCACTATCATTATCTGTGTACCAGCACAGCTCCCCAGGCACACTCTCCCTCTTCAGCCACGTGAGATAGGGAAAAGGTCTTCCTGACCTTTGCATCCTTTAAGACACCCAAAGTACTACAGTTCCCACCAAATACTGGATACACAGAAAATCTTTTTATCTACCATTTGTTGATTTGATTGCAGAAGAGCACAAGGATATTTGTGCACAATTGTGTATTGTGACAACAAACTTCATACTGTGTGGTTTATTTTTGGCAATTTTCATTAAAATGATATCTCATTGTACTTGAATACTGTCATTTCAATTTTCTTCTTTGTTCCTTTTTGGATGACTCATATCTCTTATACCAGAAGAATATGACAGACGGGATTCACAAAGGGTTTAGACAAATTCATGAATGACAGAGTCATAAACGTCTGGGTATAGGAAGTATGGAACATGAAAAGGGAAAGTAAGAAGTTGCATTTCTGAAATGTCTATTAGGTGCCATGAATTGTGTCTCAGGCACTTGACACATTTTACATCTCATTTAATCTTGTAGAATGAATCTATATAAAAACACAGCATCTCAATCCATAAGGCTAAACCTACATCTGTTCCTGCACATAGCTTCTCCAGGTACCAAAGGCAATATTCGTGTTTATTGAAATTTTATCACTCTTTTAATACAGATGAATCATTGGATTTGCTTTTGTTTCTGAGGAACACAACACTCACTCTCAATTCAGACTTCTACAGCTTATGGCTGCTTTCTGACATAACTTGATCAGTTTTTAGAGTTCCCAGTTCTCTAAATTACAATGCAATCTGAGATATTCCCACAGCAATAACAGCAATTACATTTGTTCACAGCACTTACCTTTATATTTCATTAAGCTTCCAAATACTGAATAAAGGTAAGTCAAGTCAAGAAAAGAGACTTCCATTAACCCTGACACTAGCAAATTGTCTCAAATTACAGCTTGCCTTCTATTTGTATTCTAGACATATTGAGTGGTTTCTCTGAGTTACATATTATACCTCACCTATGGTTAGAGGAAAAATGGAAGCAAATTAGTTTAAGTTACTTCTAATTTAAAAAAAAAAATAATAGTGACTTCATAAAGCATAATGCTCTCAAGTATACAGCAATACGTTTGGCAGAAATCACAACATTACAAGTAAAGCACTATCCCTCATCTTTTGGAAATAGCTGAAGAAAGAGGGCTTCACAGACTCCTTTGTTATTTTAAGTTACATGGTCTAAGGTTTGTGGCTCTAGCCTCATCAGTGATAATATGCTCCCTGCCAGGGGTAGAAGTAGGTGGGGAAAAATGGGGTACACCTTTGAATTAGTGATTATCGTAACATTCACAAGTCCCAGACAGCTTTTAGTACTTGTTTTGGGAAAACTAAAACAGACATCTCTTTGTAAAGACTATCTCATATCAGAAAAAATGGCAACGGTTCAGACGACAGGTTTCCCAGTTTGGATGGTCCAGCCCCAATATCTGTACCTCTAATTGCTGGAAATCCACCAGACCTGAATTTCTTAGTGATTATGGTTCCTGAACTTTATGTTAGTAGAAGACAACTGAGAACAGGATGACAACCAAAGGATATGTGTCACATCTCCCCTATGGCACCCGTGAAAACAGACCAAAACCTAGCGTATGTATTTAAAATTGAACCCCTTCCCTTTTGAGGCTAGGGGCTGAAAATAATGTACATATTCCAAAGAGTTCTTTGTGTGAACAGGTGACCCCTTCCCACAGTCTCTGTAATTAATTGAGAAATTAAAGTTGGTTGGCCTTTGAGAGCTTTTATAAAAAAAAAAAAAGCAGAAGGTCTTGACTATTTTGGAACAAGAGTCCACTATTCTGCCAAAACAGTGTGTTATTGTTATTGAAGTGTCTCTCAACAAAACGGTATTGAGTGGTGAGGACGTGATTTTGATTAGGTAGAATGACTCAGCTCTTCCCCTTAAAGAAGAGAGGACTTGTCAGAGCCTTACTTACCTCATGATCTGGGATCTCAGAGGATAGTGTTTTCCCTAGGATGACCCCGGTCAAGTATGTCCAGCAACGAGCCGTGTTGGCAAGGTTATAGCCTCCTGTCTCCGTCAAGAATTGTGAAGTTAGGAAAGAATAGTCACAAAACAGGAGAGGGAAAGGAATAAGGAAGGAGAGAAAATGGTTTTAATAAAAGGTCTACAAAGACAAATCCAACTTGCAGAATCTTACTTAAACATTACTTGATGGTATTTGTAAATCACTTAGTGGGTAGACTTTTGGGGGACCAGTCAGATCATGCAGAGTGGGACTTGGAATTTCAAGGGCAATATCGATTAAAGAGGCTCTCATCTCCTTAGCAAATATGCACCCAAGCAAACAAAGTACCTCAGTTCCACCAAGAGACATTAGTGAGTCGGGGAACCCTGGAACCCAGATGTCTGGAGGTGACCTACCTGATGTGATGGTTTCTCAGATGAATTTTGTAACAATTCTATAAAGTGACTGCTGGCTGTGATTTGTATTTTAAAGCTATTGGCATATCTAGCCCTAAAGGCATCCAGGAAAAAGAAAAGGAAAGTGCTGACAGAAACAGACTTCCTTCTTTTAATATCAGCATTCCTTTCCACCACAAAATGCAAGCCTGGTGGCAGAGATCAAAGAAAGTGAGATGAGGAAAGGACTGATGATTGACACACTGACCCATCACATCAGGTCCTGTCACAGTCACCCAGCAGCCATATTACACTGGTTAATAATCAGCATATTTTTGTGCTGAATGGATGTGCTTTGCCATGCAAGCATTAGAACATTGGCCTTTAGCTAAATTCCAAGAGTATAAGGGTAAAATGGAATGATTTCCTAACCTCACAGCAGACCAAAGGAAATAAAACCAGCTCTATTTAGGTAGGGTGACCATATACATTAGCATCCAAAATGATATACTTTGAAGAACAATAGGAGACACTATTCCTTATTACACTGGGCAAACATATATAAACTGGGACCTGCCATTACCTTTTTCTTAAGCTTTCTTACTATTTGAAAGGTCAGGGAGGCTGGGGTTTCTGGAGTGTGTCTTTCAGGCCTTAGTGGGACTGATCTGAAAAAGCTTGGGAATGTAGCTGTCTCTACTAATTGTCTATGTGTTAATGAGAGCAGAGAATTTCAGCTATACAGTTGAGTATTCTCTTTAAACATTCCTGGCATGAAAAATTAGTCTGTAGGACAGACTTATTTGGCATAGTTATTAATTCAAAAAAGAATCACTATAGTTTTTATTTAAGGAGTATGCTATCTCTAGTATATACATCATATTACTTGATTTGCAAAATTTCACTTATGCACAGGCATTTTCAGGAACGCATATACTTCATAAAATATTTATACTTACATATTCAAGGGCCATACTTTAGGTTAAAAAGGCGAAAGGACTTGAGCTAATGCTAATAAACTCTTCAAGAGAAGGCTGTAGTCTCAGACAAATGTTAAATTCTCACAGATGTCTATTGTAGAAAGGTCTTCCCCCCACCCCAGCTGGACCTGTACCATAATTACCATCCTTAGTGTTGTTAAGGAAAGCAATATGACATGCAGTGCTTATCAATTTTATCTTTTATCTGGAGATGAACTTAATAAATTTCTTGCCAGCTTTTTATAAGAGAGTGTCTCTTGTAATCAGTTTTAATTTTGATCCCTCTGGGGTTTGAAGATGCCAAAGGACTAGGTTGGTGTATTTGAGCTGCAAGCACACTTGTTTACATAAGGCCTTCCAAGAATTTACCTGAACTTGGATTTAACTAGAGGGTGATAAAACTATTAGCTTGTTCAACATATATGCATTTAATTTCTTTACAAATATTTTATGTGTATGAGTATTTTGCCACCATGTATGAATGTATACCATGTACATGCTGGGTGCCCACAGAGGCCAGAAGAGGGAGTTACAAAGGGTTGAGCTGCCATGTGAGGGTTTGGAACTGAACCTTAGTCCATTTGTACATTTTTGAGACAAGGTCTTGTGTAGCTCATGATAACCATTAACTCCCAAGCTTCTTGATTCTATTTCCCAAATACTAGGATTATAAACATGTGCTGCCATGCCTTGTGACATATATGTGCATTTCAATCTCATTCCACTTGACCATACTTTAATACACCAATATACTGATCCAATGAAATAAAGATTGTAGGTGGTAAAGAGACAGAAGATCCTAAGTCACCTATAAAGGAGACTGAGGTTGGGCAAGGTTCCAGACACATAAATGCTTCTATCAAACAGACATAGCATTGTTAGTTGAATAATGTAAGTACCGCTATGAGGGAAGCAAGAATGCTCAAGAGACTATAGATGTCTCAAGTTTGCTTCATTATAACAAAATCATGCTTTAGGGGGAACAAGTAGTTCTTGAATTCATCTTAGATATTTAATTAATTTATATATTTACTATTCATATATGAGTAGAGATAAAATTTCATTGGTGTGTTTCCAAAACATTATTGTGAGAAGAAAATTAATGACTACTCTGACAGAAAAGGCCTCAGTCTTTGGGGGCTGACATCCTCTATTATAATCTGAGATAATTTCTTCTTCCTTTTTGTTTTGTGTTTTGTTGTTGTTGTTTTGGTTTGGTTTTTGCTTTTTCAAGATAGCCCTGGCTATCCTGGCACTCACTCTGTAGACCAGGCTGGCCTCGAACTCACAGATATCTGCCTGCCTCTGCTTCCTGAGTGCTTGGACTAAAGTGTGAGCCACTGACGCCCCACTTCTTGTTTTTCGCTCAGGTTTGAACACAGAGTCTTGTGTATGCTAGGCAAGTGTTCTACTTTTAACCTTTATTTCAGATTTAAAACAAACTATAGAGTACCTAGGTGTTAAAGTCCATGTCAAGGTGACTGGGAATGAGCCAGAGTCTATGCTGAACTCTACAGGTGATTTAGTTTATAGACTTGGGCTTCTGGGCCATAGGCAGCTTAGTACTACCCAATCCAAGAAAATCAGCGTATCTCCTCTACCAAGAAAATGTGGAGAAAGATTGACAAGTTCTCTTGGTGACTTTACTTTGTACTCACCTCCTCCTAAAATCAGAGTGGCCAATTGCCACTGAAGGACATACTTCAGACACTTGCCGATCCCCACCGGTGTCATGTTAAAGGAACACATTGGATCCCCAGCCATGGTATCTGCACCCAGCTGTAAAACCACTGCTTTAGGATTGAAGGCCTGGTACACTTCCTTTAGTACACTGGAAAGAGGAAGAACACAAATAAATTATCAGAAAAAGATGAGTTTTAGTTAGGGCTTTGCAGTGAGGTAAAGTGTGTTGGAGGGATAGCTGAATTATCTAGTAATTGAAATGTAACCTGTCCATCACATCACATTGTCCAGCTTAAAGGGTAAACCTGGCTGTATGTGTATTATACTTCAATAAACCTGACTTACAATAACAATTCCCCTACTTCCACCATTACCAACGAACAAATTCACCCTTTTTATTTCAGAACCTTGACTTCACTGAACACTTCATATCTATGTAGTAACTTTCATAACCATGAAGCATAGTATACACATTTATTCCATTTTAGAACCCCAATAAAGCATATACACTGAATAGTTATGAAGGTTTCCTTCTGATAATTTTAGATAGCAATCACACCTTGAGTTTATCACCTAATTATCAGTGGGGGCAAGGAGCATAAGCCTTGAAAAGCCTAAATGGTATCAGCTTACTTTTCATTATGCAAAGGACTTGAGGGTTCTGAAATACAGTCCTCCCCAGTGCATATGCAACCATGGTATTATAAGGAGAACAGTATCAACTGATCAAGAATTACAATTGAAAGTATCTAAAAGAACAAGTTGCAATGGCCAATAGTGTAATTTTGGGTAGAATCAATGCTATCAAATCAGCCTGCTATTTGCAGAGGGCATAGAGCCTTATAGATGAAAAGGGAAATGTCCATGTGACAGGTAACCTTACTCAGGCTTCAAATATTATCATTAATTGAACACTGACAATGTCCAGAATGCATTCCTAGGAATTATAAGGTCCTTGCTCTCAAGGGGCTTACAATCTACTTTCCAGACAAAACATATCCCAGTCCTCAAGAGCCAGAGTAAGTCTTACAGAGACATATAAACAAGTGCAAATTAACAGACTTCAGAGTTGAGAAAATACAGAGTCAAAAAGTGATCAAAAATGTTGAAGTTAATGACCCTTTCATAATCAACATGTCAAATTACACCAGTGCAGAAAAACAGAAAAATCCCAGATCCTTCTGAGATGACAAAAGGAATTCAGGAACGCAAAACACTGCCCTCCCCAATTCATATGTAACCATGGTATGAAATGATGGTCACAGAGGCATTCTTTGGCTTAAAGGACTATATTGTTTTGATTTTTCAACACACAGACGAAAGCTGAGTGATTGTAAAGATTATAAGAATATTACAAAATTTATGACATATGATCCCTAATGCAAGGATTCATAGGTCTATTCTCTCTTTCATGTGCTTATCTCATGGGTGCAGAGGGAAGATAAGCCACCTGAACAGTTTAGGCGACATTTATTGAGCACCTACACAAACAGCACTCCCTATTAACTGCTGCTGGGAGATACAGAGGAAGGCGTCATGTCTATTTTAAGAAGGTTTCTAGTTGGGGGGCTACCATTCTTTCCACCCATTCTTCCTTTCACTGATCATACACTTACTGAGCACCCACTATGTGCCCAGAATGGAACTGGACCAGATACTCCAGGAATCAAGATGAATCTGGCACGGATTGTATTATCATGTAGCTCAGAATAGAGGGGACTACACGGACCCTGACAGTAAATAATTAAAATGCAATGATAAATGAAGTATCAGAGATGGCACAAGGGAGAGACTTCTCCAGGTGAGGTTAGGAAAGACTCTACTGAGGCTATAATGGCTCTTTAGGTCCTGAAAGATGAGAAGCACCATATACGAGCCAACTCTCAAGATGGCTAGGAGGAAACAGTGATAATAATTCCTGGTGAAGATGTGGAGACTAGATCACACATATCTTGTTAGTGGGAATGTAAAATGGTATAGCCACTCTGGAAAATAATTTAGCAGTTCCTGTCAAAACTAAAAATAGACTTGCCATATGAGCTAGCAATTGCACTCTTGGGCAATTTATTCCAGAAAGTTAAGGCTTATTTTCATGTAGGAACTTGTACATGACTGTGTGTAGCATCTTTACACAAAATAGCTTTAACTGGAAAAAAATCCAAACATACTTTAATAGGTAAATGGGTAAACAAACCAGCATCCACAGCAGTGGAATACTATTCATCAACATGAAGAAACAAACCGTTATTATATGCAAAGAATTTGGAAAGATTACAAGGACAGTATGCTGAGTACATAAGGTCAATCTCAAAAATATACATACTGTGTGTGTGATTCCATTCATATAACATTGTAAAGTCATAACTACAGAGGGAAGAGATTAGTCATTGTCAGTAGTTCTAGATGGCTATGATAGGACAGGGGTAGTATGAAACAACCATGTGATGGTATAGGTCTGTGTTTTGAATATAGTTGTCATGTGAGGCTTCAGATATGATAAAATTTCATATACATACACATACATGAATGTATGCAAAATTGGTGGAACATGAATGAAGTCAATAAACTATACCAAATTAATCTCTTCAGTTTTGGTGATGTACTGTAATTGTGCAAGTTGTTACACTTGGTAGAGTGCACAGGACTTCCCTTGTAATCTCCTGTGAATGTGTGCTTATTGTGAAATAAAAGTGTGTTAAAGCCAGTGGGGTAACCCAGTGGGTAGACATTTGCAGCCAAGCCTGATGACCCAAGTTCATTCTCCAGTATCCACATAGTAGGAGAGAACCAACTCCTGGAAGTTGTCCTCTGACCTTCACAAGCAGCAATGGCAATGTGTCCCCCCCCCATAAAATAAATTCAATTAAAAATTTTAAAGCCTTTTTAAAGCATAGAAAGTAGCAGGTGTTAAGACCTGAATTTGATCACCAGAAATGTTAAAACAAAAAGCACAGCAGAAAAAGAAGTTGAAGGCTTGTGGAATAAAGTTAGGGGAACTGGCAAGGATGGTTATGGAGAGTACTAAGAGGAGAGGAGGTTCAGAGAAGAGAGTACAGGTAACATGCAGGCTAGAAACTGCAAGTGGAGGTATATAACGACAGAAATAAATGAATATGGCTTTTTATATAAAATTTGTGAAACGTCTAAAACAGTGTGTGTGCAAGTACATGCACAATGTGTATACTGTGTGTATTGGGGATAAGTGAACGCAAGTGTTGAATAACCTGAAGGCTGATTTTACAACCATCTACAGGCTGCTGACATAAGAAAGACAGGGACTTGAGAGGAAATTCCATGACAGAATTAATAGAGTAACATGGAGCGATACCCAAGAAAAGAAGATACCTATAATGTTCATGACTGGTAATTAGGAGAGAGGAAGGAAAGGAAGGGATGTGTTTCTGGAACAGTTGTCTTCATTAGAGCTGTAGGGAAAATGAGTCTTCAGGGAGTTCTGATGAAACGGGCTCTGGATGGGTAGAGAAAACAGTAATCAGAAGCTTTGAAAAAGGTAAGGCATTTTGTACACTGAATATACCTCAGTCTACAGAAAGCTGGATAGTGGGCATGGAAAACTACTCAGGTTTTCATTTGATTTGACAGTCAAATTGGCGCACCTGGACATCTATAAGTACTGATCTTGCTAAAAATTATACTTAAGAGCTCTGACTGTAGATGTGTGTAAGAACAAAATCACAAAGCCGAGCAGCAAAGGAAATGACACAAGGGACATAGAAGCTCTCTAGGACAATAGGGGAATGAAGCAAGGCCAGGTAAGTCTGGAAAAACTTAAGGAAAAATGTGAGAAGGGTAGGCAGATTGTTAGGGGTAGGGGGCTATGAATGGGTGGTATGTAGTGAAATTACCATTTCCTAGTTCATATACCCTTCTCTCATTGTTTTTTGGTTTTTGAGATAATGGTCTCATTATGTAGCTCAGGCTAGTCTAGAACTCATGAAAACACCCTGCTTTAGCTTTCTGAGTGTTGAAATTATAGACCTGTGCCAGTAAACCTGGCTTCATATTTCCACTTTGAAGTCAGCATCATTTGCTTATATTAAACAAATATTAAAATTCAATTTTTAACCTTTCTCTTCCCTTGTAATTATTCTCTGTGGTTCAGTATTTGTTCACTCACTTAAACCCAGAGTTAAGTACCTATTATTTCTTAAACTAGTGGTGATAACATATATTTATAACCCTAGTACACAGGAGATTGAAGTAAGAGGATTTCAGGCAGCCTGGGTTAGTAGTGAATTAGCAGATTAGCTGCAAATACATAGTGAGACCCTGTCTCAACAAAACCAAAGAGGGGAAAAAAGAAGCCAGAGGCAAAGACCTGATGGTGTTGATGGCTCAGTAGGCATAGAAAACAGAGAAGTCCAAAATACTGTTCTGTGCTTTGTTTGTTTGTCCATCCATCCACCCACCCATCCATCCATATGTCCATCCGTCCAACAAACGAATAGAAATTGAATGCCTACTATATGCCAGGTAGGTACAAAGTTGACAATGAGTTTACAGAATCAAACAAAACAAAACAAAAATGACCTCACTTTTTCTCCAAGGACTGTCCTAATTCTCTGACATTATCTTTCTTTCTGATTTCAACAACAGCAGTGTCTGTCTGTACCCTACTTTAGTTTTCCTAAGCATGGCCACTTTTGGTGGTTTGATAAGCAAAGCAATACTTGGAACCATTTTACATCTAAGACACTAAACTCTGAACTATTTTCTCCGGTACAGTTTCCTGTCTTCCCATGTCCTTATTGCGCTTTCCACGCCTCTCCACTCCCTCCGTGTGTGTGTGTGTGTGTGTGTGTGTGTGTGTGTGTGTGTGTGTGTGTGTGTGCTTCTTTTTTTCAGATAGGGTTTCTCTGTGTAACAGCCTTGGCTGTCCTGGAATTTTCTCTGTAGACCAGGCTGGCCTTGAACTCATAGAGACCTGCCTGCCTCTTCTTCCCCAATGCCGGGATTAAAGGTGTGCCACACTGTCTGGCTTGTGTTTGCCCTTTATTGTTGTTAAAACTCTGATTGTCTGATCACTTCCTGTTTTCAAGCCACCAGCCCACCCGTTTTCTTAAAGAGAATACGGTTAATGATTTCAGAAACTCTGACAAGCATTATTAATTTCCTCACAAATGGTCA